ATTAAACAAAGGAGATTAGAACAATCCTAAATGCAGCGAAAACAAAGCAGTCAATTCAGGACAGGTGGTATTCCACCATGTTAGTTAAAAGCCTGCTTTTAAAAGCAAAGCCCTTCCAGTACCCTTTTCTCTCTCTTCACCCACCTCCCTCCTCCATGCCTTCTTATGGGCATATTGGAATACAGCTGTTTTCCCCCCTCCTGGAGATAACATTTGCTTGGATCTGCTTCTGGTGAGGCAGGTGACAGTCATGGGACCGTGTGGGGCTGGGAGAGACCTCCAGCAGTGTTGAGTAAACATCCTTTTCTCCCCACAAAGGAGCCTCCTAGGGCTAAAGCACTTCACAGATGGGACAGGCCCCTTCGCCCTCCTCCTCTGCCTGGGAATCCTTCCCTGTTGAAGATAGTTTGGATTTGGACCACTGAAAAGGCACTTTCTATTTGTAATGCAAATTGTACAAGTGGGAGACCGTAGTCCCTGGTGGGGGTGTGGTTAGAAAAAAATGTGGAGAGCACAAACTTTAGAGAAAGAGTCTGTAGAGTGGGGTTGCGTGGTCAGTTGTTTTCTCCTCCTTCAATATCTGTTTCAGATAAAGGAGCCATTCCCAAGCCTTGAGCTTGACCCTGAGTTTTGGTATGTCTTTGCTTTTCCTACAGAGGGAAAAGGCGGTCCATTTGCTTCCATTCTTTTGGCTTCTATTGGAGAGGAAAGTGGAAGTCTCAGCCAGTTCTGGAGCTGGAAAGGAGCTGAATGACATGGAGGGTTGGAGCAACAAGGAATTTCCAGAAAGAACTGGACAGAACAACCTTGATACGGACTCTCTTGAGCATGAAGTCCAGTGCCAGCATTTTCGGGAATTCAGCTACCAGGAGGATGAAGGGCCTCGAGTGATTTGTAGCCAACTTCATCGTCTCTGCCGTCAGTGGCTGAAGCCAGAAAAACACACCAAGGCTGAAATCCTGGACCTGATCGTCCTTGAACAGTTCCTAGCTGTCCTGCCACCATCAATGAAGATCTGGGTGAGAGAGTGCAAGCCGGAAACCGCTTCCCAGGCCGTGTCCCTGGCGGAAGGTTTCCTCCTGAGCCAGAGAGAGGATAAGAAGGAGGAAGAGGAGCTGGTGAGAGTTCAGGGCAATAGTTTTTTAATAAGTTGCCTAACTAAATATTTCCACTCTTCTTCCTAAATCTGATGTTCTTTCCTATACTGTTAGTTTTTAAATATGTTCCTCCATTCCTGTGTTGGGTATCCAGACTTTGCTGTGTGTTTTTGTTTTTTGTTTTTTTGTACAGGGTTCTTCAGAATCTGCCGCTGGCTCCCCTCTGGCAGTGGACTCCCCTTCCTCCCTCGGGCAGAGGCCACTGCTCCCGAGGAACAGGCTGGAGGGGATCGGAGGAGCCGTCTCTCAGGGTAAGACCCAGTCAGCCCATTTCTTCTCGATCTCCCTTCTTTGCATCTTTCCAAAGCCAGTGAATGGCCTTTTAGGCCTCCTGCGTGGAATTCATGAAAGATTGGTTGACCAATGTAGGAAAATTATTTTTTTAACTAAGTTGGGGAAAAATTCATGTGAATAATAAGAAACCTTTCCTTGCAGGCATTGAAAATATGCAAGGAACCTCTCCCTCATCTCACCTTTGCAGAGGAATGGAAGCTGTATCTGTGCAGCCAGAACAGGTAAAGGGGATTGGATTGGTAGATAGGGAAGAAGCCTGGGCACCTTTGTTTCCTATCTGCCTCCTCGGCTGGATATGGTTTGCTCCCTTCATTTCGCTTCTTTCAATATTGTGCAGTAAATGGTATGAGAGATTTCTCAGGGAATGGTTCGGTCTGGCCTTGGAATTCCAGTCCACATTGTGTTTTTAGAGAGGGGCACGGACCAGTTTGTGTGGGGCTGTGGCTCCCTTCCCTTGCCTCTTCATCCAATCAGCCACTCACTCACATCAGCTTGCTTGCTTTTCCGACCTCCTCGGCTGATCTCCCAGTCACCAGCAAGAGCACAGAGATCTCTGCCCTGCCCTTTTCTCTGAGTGGCAGGTCAGCCAAGAGGGGGGGGGGCAGAGAAGACTGAGCTGCTGCCGGGATTGGAGGGGGGTGGGAAGAGAGGGTGCTGGGCCTGGTGAGTCGCTGGATGAGCCAGAGGAGGCAGGGCAGGGGAGCAGCAGTACCTGTGCCGCCCCCCTTATGCAGTAGGACAAACCGGTTTGTGCCCATCTCTAAATGTGTTCATTCTCTTCTTGGCGGTACTTAGTGAGAGTCGAACAACCGCATTCTCTCTGAGGATGAAAGGCTTCCTCTTCTTTCAGGGTCCTGTAACCTTTGATGAAGTTGCCGTGAATTTCACAGAGGCGGAATGGGTATTGCTGGATCAGAACCAAAGGGCCTGCCACAGGGACGTTATGGAGGAGACACATGAAAATGTGTTGTCTTTGGGTGAGCTGTGCTTTTTTCTCCCTTCAGTCGACAGACCCACAGTGCAAATGGTACCAAAGAATATGTAGCCGATCACTGCTGTGAACGTTCACAAAATGAGAGTGAGGAAAACTATTAAAGTTTTTTTTCTGTAGCACACATGTAAAGATCTAAAGCTTAATCCTCACTAATCGATACATTCCCCAGAAAGCAAACAGGAAAGGACAGGTAAAAGCTCTGCCCCTTAGAGAAACAGGGAAAGGAGGTGGGACTGAAAGGCAGACTTCTAAGAATACGGGTCTAACTGTAAGGTGCAGGAGGTCTGAGAGTCAACAAGGGAACTGACCATTCTTTCCTCATATTTACTTCCAAACTCCACTTTCTGGTGATTTTGGGGTACGATGCCAACGTGTTCGACATCTCAAGGTGTCCCCTTCCAATGGGATTTTGTTTATCTTATTTCAGCTCAGGAGGGAAGACACAGCGAGAACCAGGAAGAATTGTGTTGGGAAGGCTTGGAAACAGTCGTTTGTAAAGAGAGTCATCTTCAAGGAAGGATAAGTGAAGCAAATTCACACAGTAGAAGTGAAGATTTTGCTTTTCCACTCAGAGATTCGCAAGATTCTCTGCTCCAGGAAAATAGAGAGAAAAGGAAGGAAACGGGTAAATGTTCTTTGTACGGAAATAACTGTAGTCTAAGTGCTGCTTGGACAATCCACACGGGAGGGAGACCGCTGAAAATCCCAGAAGGTGCCAAGAGTCTTTGTGATTATTCACCCTTTGGAATTCATCAAATTTTTCAGAGCTTCGAAAGTAGAAAGAGCTTCCAGTACAGACCGAACCTTGTTCTCCCTCAGAGAACAGACACTGAGAAACCGTTTAAATGTGTAGAGTGTGGAAAGAGCTTCAGTCACAACACATACCTGGCTCGTCATCTGAGGATCCACACAGGGGAGAAGCCTTTTAAATGCCTGGAATGTGGAAATAGTTTCAGTCGCAGGGATCACCTGGATCGGCATTGTGTGGAAAGAGCTTCCGACAAAGGGCCCACCTGGATCAGCATTTGAGGATCCATACAGGGGAGAAACCATTTAAGTGTTCAGAATGTGGAAAGACCTTCCGCCGCAGTGCAAATCTTTCTTTTCATCAGAGACTCCATACTGGAGAAAAACCATTTAAATGCTTGGTCTGTGGAAAGTGCTTCTGTCACAGCACACAACTGGTTTGCCATATGAGGAACCACACAGGGGAGAAACCTTTTACATGTCTGGAATGTGGGAAGAGTTTCGGCCGGAGCACAACCCTGAAGAACCACATGAGAATCCACACAGGGGAGAAACCGTTTGCGTGCTTGGAATGTGGGAAGAGCTTCCGTCACAGGGCAACCCTGGCTTGTCATTCTTCTGTCACAGCACACAACTGGTTTGCCATATGAGGAACCACACAGGGGAGAAACCTTTTACATGTCTGGAATGTGGGAAGAGTTTCGGCCGGAGCACAACCCTGAAGAACCACATGAGAATCCACACAGGGGAGAAACCGTTTGCGTGCTTGGAATGTGGGAAGAGCTTCCGTCACAGGGCATCCCTGGCTTGTCATTTGAGGATCCACACTGGGGAGAAACCATTTCAGTGCTCAGAATGTGGAAAGAGCTTTAGCCACAGCAAAACCGTTAAAAACCACATGAGAATCCACACAAGGGAGAACCCGTTTGCGTGCTTGGAATGTGGGAAGAGTTTCAGGCAGAGGGTGCAACTCACTTCTCATCAAAGAAGCCACAGAGAGTGAGAGAGAAAAGTTTAAATGCTTGGAGGGTCACGAGACTTTCAAGAAAGGGAGGCATCTGATTTCCCATCGAAACATTCCCCCCGGTGAAAACATGACACGTCTGCCTCCAGACATTGCATCAGGGAAATACAAAATTGTATATCCTATAGAAACAAAGAACGAGAACAGATTTTTGTAGTTCCCAAAGAAACACTGGGGCGGAATCTGATTTTCTAATGACTGCCGTGGATTGTCCTCTTTCCCCCTTCACTGTCTTTTTTCCTACACCAAAAAGCAAACCAAACAAAACCATGCAGTTCCCTTTCTAAGACGAGCCCTCCAGCCCTTTCCCCCCCACCCTAAAAGGCCTTTCCCCCCTTTGCACCCTACGCCCCCAAAGAACTGGCCCGGGGTTGAGGGTTGTTTTCTCTCCCCCAGAAGCGACTGTTTTTCAGCTAGCGGTGCAAACACCCTCCTTCCCCATTTTACATATGCAGTTATGATATGTGGCCACCCTCTCTGTGCCCGTGGGAAACAGAGACACGCTCCCTTTGGGGGTCAGCCCTATCCTGGATTCTCATGCCTGCCTACCAGCTTTTTTTGCTTCTCCTTCAACTGACCGGGGATGCAGGGATCCTTTCCTCCTGCACTCCTTACTTTGGTTGTTGTGGGTTTTTCGGGCTTCTTGGCCGTGGTCTGAAGGTGGTTCTTCCTAACGTTTCACCAGTCTCTGTGGCCGGCATCTTCAGAGGACAGAAAAACCCACAACAACCATTAGATCCTGGCCGTGAAAGACTCCTTACTTTCGAGAGGAGCCACTGCCGAGAATGCCCGATTTCTGGTCTTTTCCTTCCGGGCCTCTCTCGGCGTCAGGCTCCTCAGCCTCACCTCCTGGCTCGCACAGGTGACACGGGTAGATCTAGGTGGGAGCAGGCGTTCCACCAACCTCCTCTAGTTGTGATTTCCTCCGCTAAGCTACAGGGTTTCAGCCGTTGCATTATTAGGGCTGCTGAATGTGCTTCTGTGTTGCTACAAAAGCCTGTTTGAAATCCTGTTGATCCTCAAATGCCTCGAAGCAAAAGAGGACGATAGTGATCATTAATATTTGTTGTGATGATTCCAGTTCTTTGCTTTATCAACTCAACTGATTTTAATGGGTTTGCAGCTGACATTGTTTTCCATTTGCTTGTTTATTAAATCTCTTTTCTTGATGTTTGTAAACGACCTGGAACACGAAATGTAGTATAAAGGAAGGTTTGAAGTGTAACCTGTAATAACAGTAGCAATAAAAATGATTATACATTTATTTACTGTCATGTTTATTTTATTTGTTGCCCATCTGCCTCCTTTGCAGGACCCAGGGCAGCTTACAAATATGTTAAAAACAGGTGCAACAAAAAAGGGCAATTAATTACAAAATCCAATAATTTGTCAGGTGAAAGCAAAGACATAATCAATATAATTGTTTTGTTAACTGCAGCTCAATTAGTGAAAACTGGAACTTTGTGCATTTTACAATGCCAACCAGTATGAGAGCCATTGTGGGGATAAGTGACAGATTAGGATTTAGGAGACCTGGGTTCAAATCCCTGCTACTTTTTCCCAGGAGTAGCAATGAGAAACTAGTCCATGATCCTGTCATATCCCCCAGAAACCGTTTTAGGATTGCCATAAACCAGAAAAGGCATAGAACAAGAAAAAAAAAACCCAACCTTAAATGTGTCTTCTAGTGTGTTTTGTGAGGTTATGGTCAGCAAATTTATAAAATGTACTGTATTGTCTGTACCGGAGGTGAATGCAACTGCTGTAAGAGCAACATGGAACCTCCAAGTAAAGATACAGTCTATCTTGGTCTTTTTTGATGATGTCTCTATAAACACTAGTAGAGGAGTGGAGCCTCCTGTTTCCACGCCATCATGCTCTTGAACTTCCCAGAGTTACTTAGGCTGGCCACCGAAAAACAAATACTTTTTTAAATTAAGGAAATACAGAGGTGTGGCGTTTGCCCCGTGGCCCATGCTTGTTTTACCAAACCCAGAGCTCAGGAAGGTATCTGAATACGCCCCCTTGACACGCTGCCAACAGTTGGTCTCTTTATCAACTTGTATTTCTTATGAAAGACTAAGGTCCATCCAGTAATGACTTTTTAAACAGAAACAGGTTTTTTAATTACACGTGGTTTCAGGAATAGTTCGTGAGCACATTCTTAAAGTTCCACAAAGCTTCAATATTTTACTTTAATCTCTTCTCTGTGAATTAACACAGGTCACACTCTAAGACTGCCTAATCACTCCTTAAACACTCTCTGCCTCAAACCCCCAAACTATCCTCTTCTCTAGCTCCCTCTGACTCTGACTGAACTCCTCTCTCCCAGGCTCCGCCTCTTCAGCACCTCTCTCGGCCCGACTCACAACCACATTAACATATAACTTATGAATAATGCATAACTTAGGGTGAATGCCACATTCCTCCCCACTTCAAATATATCTGTTTAGGAGGAGAAACCTAGCAGCTTGCCCTCATAAAGAAACTCCTAGTGCATGCAAGGATAACAATAACTTGTCAAATTATGCAAAGGAAATTATGCACACCTTATAATACCATTTTCTCCCTATTTTTATGTTTACCAAACCAAACTTACCACTTTAAACATCCAAACAATTAATGCAATTAAAACATTTGCATTAATCACATTAATACGACTTACACTGCATCACCTCCACATCAATAAGGCTACTCACCATTATTTTCCCCATCTTTCTACACCTCTCAGTTCATCACCATCCAAACTTTGCATTTTAATCATTTTACACAAACGGAACATTTAATACAACATATACAAACCTAGTTTATCCACCCATTAGTCATTCGGCCTTCGAGGCAAAGCGTCAGCACCCACGCTCTCAGTCCCTTTTACGCTACAGATTAAAAAGTCAAGGTCTTGCAGGTTCCGTGTCCATCTTGCAAGGTTACTGTTAGTGGATTCCACAGTTTGTAGCCACACCAGAGGGAAAGGGTTGGTGCAAAGGACGAATTTCTTTCCCCAAATCTAGGGTTTCCGTCTTTGCAGCGTTGAATTGTCTGTACCAGATGTGAATGCAACTGCTGTAATAGCAACATGGAACCTCCAAGTCTATCTTGGTCTTTTTTGATCGTGTCTCTGTATAAACACTAGTAGAGGAGGGGAGCCTCCTGTTTCCACGCCAAACAATTGACAGGCACGCCCTCTTGATGGCAGAGAAATGTCTCTCAGCAGGTCGGAATCTCCTGCTGATCAGTCTCGGGGTGCAGATTCACGCTGTCATCCTCTTGGCGCAGCACGGCTCCCAGACTCACACTCGACACATTGATGTACACGATGAACTTCCAGTTGTAGTCCGGCGCAACAAAGGCAGATCCTGAAGTCGGCGCTCGCTTCTGACAATTGATAGCCATCAGGCACTCTGGCGTCCCCTGGATTTCCTCCGCTCGCCTTTTCCGGGTGAAGCCTGCTTTCTTTCTGGCTCGTGGCTTCACTTTTCTCAGCTGGGGAAAGGGTAGGCAGCTCTTTCTCCTCCTCCAGAACATCTCTGGAT